TCTATCCCAACACCAAAAGGCCCAAAGGGGGGGATATTAAGACCTTGTAGCACTGAATCAACCATACTCAAATCATAGTAAACCCAGGAGAGGCTACGGATTAATCAGCCTTTCCTGTTGTGATGGCAGCAGAGTGCTCTCCTTTGCTCTTGTCTGAGTGTGCACAGGACTAAATGTAGGCTCAAGGGATTTGCATTAGCAGATTGAAAGTAGAAATTCTCTGGGAATGATGTTCTTCTGTCCTTACAATCATTTTAGTGAGATGCACTAGATTGTCATGGCCATCTCCTGGAGCTACCTGGCAATGGATGGACTTGGCTATTCTGTGGATTCTGGCAAGTGTCTCCACAAATGTGGGACAAAGGGGTTGAAATCACACATTGGCTCTGGGGCAACTGCTTCACTCACTGTACCACTGCTGTGTGGAAATCATCCCGTATCCTGTACCTTGGTTTCAAAGCTGTGAGGAGCTAACTGTTCAAATTCTTGTCTAGGACTGGTATAGATACAGGAATAGAAAGTGGAGGAGCACTTCTGCAGTCCTTTTTATGGGTCCCACTGAATGGTGTGGATTGAGTTATATTTGTCTAAACTTGATATATGTGACAATGTTATATTAGCATTTCATAACTGCTCATCCTGAACTGTCACAGTGTCCTAGTGAATAACAGATTCTTTAGGTGCAGGTCATTCCTTTGGAGACAAAGAACCAACTCTATAATATAAAAAGATACTTTTGATTTAATTCTCACCAGTTGCCCCATACTTTTGGTCCCAATATTTTCAAAAGCTTTTCCTTCCACTACTTCCTTTTACTCGGCTTGCTAACAACCCTCCTGCACATGTCTGCCTGGTCCTACACTGGAAAGCTCATCTTCAAGATGTACCTTCTTGGGCCTGGAGATTTAGCTCAGCAGCATAAGCACCTGCCTTGCAAGCAGGCAGTCGTGAATTCGATCCCTGCTACCGATAAAAACGAAAAAAAAGACAAAAAAAAAAAAAAAAAGGTGTCCCTTCTTAGGCTTTATCATGCTCTTTCCCCTAGGTCTCCATCAGGTGCTCCTGCACAGGGTTCCAAGCCTGGTGGTCCCTGCCTTCTGTCCCAGCATCTATTGCAGAAACTGTAAGCTGTCTATGTATGTATTTCCTTGACCCATGGATACTGCTAGAGGCTCCTATTTCACCTGCTCATTCCAGATTCCCAGTACAAAGCCTTATACATAGTTTGTGCCCAGAATAAGGTGCTGAGTATAGAAATAAATGAATGTCATTAGACATTAAAAGAGATATGATGCTTCTGGAATTTCCAGGTGGGCCAGCAGTTTAAATATACACAGTTCATTCTACAGTGAATCTAGCTCAATCTTTGAAATAAAATATCAAGATCAAAGATAAACAATATTTAAGAGATAGACAGTAAACAATGGCAAAGTTTTAAAGTGCTCAGTCAAATGAACCAAAAGCAGATAGACCAGAAACCAGAAGGTAGACTCTTGGAAATGGGTAAGTAGACCAGGGAATGGGGGAAGAAAGGAGTTACAATTACCAAGAACAAGAAATAGCATCCATGCTTATAATCCCAGCATTCTGAGAGGCTGGGTCATGGATATAGTAAGTTTGAGCCCACATTGGGCAACTTAGAAAATTAGCAAGACTGTAGCAAAAAAAAAATTTTTTTTTTAGAAAGAACTGAAGATATATTGCTCAGAATAAAGGCCCTGGCTTTATTCTGTACTCCAGAGAACAAACCAAAAGCAATTATCAAGATATAACATATGCATTTACTATGTACCAGTTTCCTCAAACTAACATTATTATTTTGTATTACAAATATGCACTAAAAAAAGAAAAAGGAAAAAATTAAATTAGTCACCTGATGTTTTGAAAAAGATCTCTAGGTTGTTTCTCTCTTGTGATGGTTAAGGTGGTTTGACAGCTTGATTGCATTGGGAGCTGCTCGGAGGGCTGGTGGAGCATGCTTCTGAGTGTTTCTGGCTGGGCTGTGGAGACTGTCCTTGGGGGTCTGTGTCTGGACGCTTACCTTTTTCTCTCTGCCACTGGTATTATTCCTTTGCTCTGTTTTCTAGTCACCATGAACTGAGCCTCTCTGCTCTGCTATGCCTTTCATGTTTCTGTCTTGGAGACATCTGGCAATGGACCGAATTCCCTTAAAATGTGAGCCTTTAAATTGTGGATGCTGCGTATTTTATCCTAACAACAGAAAATCTGACTAACGCACTTATCTAATTCCCTCCTCCCATGCCTCACTTTATCTCTCCTTTCTCTTGCTGTTAAGAAGACATTTACTAGGCACCAAGTGCATGCTCATGGCTTTAACATGCACTGAATAGCTGTGGATGAGTACAGCATAGTCCTGTCCCCTGGAGCTCAATTCCAAGTGAGCAGATTGGTGGGTAACTACAGAATAGTGAGTACTGGGATGGAGTTCTGCATGGGATCTGAGGAGTAGAGGAAAAAGGAAAACCCCCGAGGGGTGCTCCAGGCTCTCTTCCTCAGGAGGAAGCTTTACTAGGTATGTGTGTTATAGATAACAAATGATTTATATCCAAGAACCTTTGGTAAGATTCTAACCTCTCAGGGTGCTGATAAGAAATCAATTTAAATTACTAAGTTGCAGGCAGATACACTCCTATACCTTATCCTCTGTGATTTTCTTCAGAGGGAGGGCAGCTGTCTAAGTGGATGGGAGCTTCTGATCATCAATAGGCTCCTTTTCTTTCCTTCCTTCCTTTCTTCTTTCTTTAAGCCCTCTTCGTCCCACTCCCCCCCCCTCTATCTGCGTCTCCCTCCCCCCACTCTGTCTCTGCCACATGAGGACACAGTGCTTCCAGGAAGAGAGCTCTCACCAGGAACTGAGCTGGCAGTTATCCTGATCTTGGATTTCCCAGCCTCCTTCATTGTGCAAAAATAAATTTCTTTTGCTTAAGCCAGCCAGCCTGAAATACTTTGCTATGGCTTTCTATGCAGTTTAAAACAAAGATGAAGACAGAGTTTGAGCAAAGTGAAGATTTGACAATTGCAGTTTCCTCAAAACTACAAACATTTTGCATTTCACTGATAATTCTGATCGTTAAATTTTAACTCTAGAAATGTTTGACTTTGAAATTAGCACATGCTCACCACAGAAGCAGCACAGTATAATGGAAAGGGGAGCTATTGGTCATGATTTGCTGTGTGACCCTGAGCAAGTTACTGGGCTGGGTTCTTTGCCTCATGATGCCCATTGGGAAGGCCTGCAGCAGAGCTGAGGGTGGTCTCACACATACAGCCTTCCCGGCACAGGGCAGACACTCTCTGGTAAGTAAATGTCAATGAGACCAGAAGTTTGGAAGCTGTTCAGTGAATCTCAGCCCCTCCTTAAGTTCATCAGTTTTGGAACAGATCTCAGATTTGCTAGATTTACTATGTATTTATATGTACAACCAGATTTCCTCTTTTTTGCTATTTTTAATTTCAAACCCTGTGACTTCATTTGCCTATATCTGTGCTTCTCAATCCCATCTCAAAAAATGCTTCAGGGTATCTATAATTATCTTCGCCAGTATGTCAATGTTCTTATTAAAATAACCCTCATGATATGGAATTTATTTTAGTTCACTTCACTTTGTATTATGTATTTTAAAACATCTCATAAGAGCCATCTGGCCCTTTAGGACATAGCTGTGAGTTTTCTGAGAAATCATATACACAATGTCAAGATTTCATCATTACTGTGAGAACTAGAATTCTTAGAGGAACACAGAGTATTCTAGATGCCATCTGCTCAGGATTCTAGAATCTAGCAGAACAGAATTTATGGGAGGGGGCGAGGCAATGTCCCTCAGACATCTATCCCCTGAGTTTGCCACCCTGGATCCTGGATCCTCCACTTCCTGGAGTTACACCAGTGAGGACTCATGCAGTTACTGAATCTTGTCTTAAGGAGTGTCCATGTGAATTAATTCTGAGACTTGCCCCAATGGAAGGTGGGGGATTTAGGAAAAAGAAGGGGTAGACATGGAGAAACAAGAAGACATAAAGGACAGGATAAAGAAAGGTTCAGTGCAGACAAAACGACTCAGATAGTAAACATGACAGCCTTGAGGAAGAAGCCGGAGGATCTCAAAAGTAGTGCTCAGTTCAGGATATGGCTGAGTCATAATAAAAGCTAAACAAGGGCCTGGGGCCCCCAAACATTAAAGAAGGGTTGCAAATTGAGCATTATTTCATCAGCTTGTTTAAGTAGCACTCATTTTACACTCCCCACTCCTGGCTGCTAGATTCTCTTTATATTTTTAAAACCATTTGCAAATTTAGGTGAAGATCAACTCTAGTTTGCCTCTTAGACTCTTCTGCATAGGCATAGCCACCAAGAGAAGTGGGAGCTCCCTCACAGTCTCAGAACTGCACCCCCCTGGGAAACACACTGCATAACTTTGGATTTAAACCAGACACTTCATGTGCCATTGACAGGCATGACATGGTGGCCACTGTGATCAAGAGTGATCCAGAGTTATGGGGCTCTGAAGATAGTCTGATTTTCTGCTTCATAAAAGAACACTTACTGATCACAATGCTCTGTCACTTTGACTTTAAAGTCTTCAGGTTTTTGCTCTCAACCTGTCACCGAAAGCAAGCAGTGCTGTCACCCAAAGCAAGGTAGTAGAGCACTGAAGGGAAGACATGGGGTACTTCTGGTGCTCACAAAGATCATGAAGGAACCTGGTGACTAAGAAAAGCAGCTTCCCAAGAGCTCACCACAGAGCAAAATAGACATGACGCATGTGGGTAGGTCCACTGACCCTACCAGTTGTGACAGGCAAGTGTGATCCTCCCTCAACAAAAGGCTTTAAGAGACCAAGGTCCTCTCTGACCTTAAAGGACTCTGCCTCCGGAGTGGATTTCTCCAAAACAAGTGACCAGAACTTGAGGCGCCTACCCACTGCATCCCTGCAGGAAACGGTTGTTATGAGTAGGGAAGGCGCCCACAAGAGCCTCACCTGGTCCAGCTTCCAGTGGAACTCTGCAGGGCGAAAGGTGTCAGCCTGGTCGAAGTCCTTCCGCAAGAGGAAGACAAGGCGGCAGTTGTGCACATACAGGGCATAGTGGTGCCGGTTCATCTCTGAAAGGCAAAGAGAGAGGACTTGGGAAGTGAGAAAATCCCTGTCACTGTTTGCCAGAGGAGTCGTCCTGCTATCTTGCCCAGCACAGCTCAAGGATAAAGAAATAGGCACTCTGGTTTTCTCTTTCACAAGTGGTCTGATGAATGCTCTGGAACACACCTTTTGGGGTTCACTGAAATGGAAGAAGAGGACTCAGGAGAAGCCACAGCAAAAGTGCTGCCAAAAAGCCACCTGGTCTTTAAATGCATGGGCCTTATCCTCAGGCGCTGCATCAGACCCAGGGTAAAGTGACTCAGGTTGGCAAGCTTTTTACACAGTGACAAACATTTCCCAAAATGTGCTCTCTGCCAATGCCATCAGCTGATCTGGATTCCTATAACACAGCTGGTGCCTCCTGGACCTTTGAAGTTTTGTTTTACCTCATCAGACTTAGAGCAGTGACCACAGAGCACACTGCCTCATCACCTTTGTCTAAAACTATGTTAAGAGGAGCTGCCTGGCTTGTAGCTGCAGGAAAGAGGGGACAGACCTGTCTTCTAGCATTAGACATAACTGCCTGGTACTCCAAAGCAATGAATCCACACCCCTTTCCCATTCCCAGCAACTAATCAAGGGACATTTTCTCCTCTGACATAGAAACTTCCTTTCCTGTTGAAAAAAATCGGATGTCACGCATACAGCTATAATGCCTTCTACCAAATGACAGAAGAGGAACTGTACTTTGACCAATACTGGGACCTCATGTGTTATTATGTCGTAGTATACAGAAGCACATGCTCCATAAATGTTAGATGAATGCGCTTGTGACCATGTCTAGCAGAAAGAGCATGGCTTAAGATTCAGTCTGACTGTGGGTGAAGCTGTGTCATTGGGTGATGTTGCAAGAGTTATTTACCCTTACAGAGCCTCAGTTTCCTTAACTATATCATGATGGTGATGCTGGACTCTTCTAATATAACCTAAGAATAGGATATTGTGATTGTTTACTGTATAACCTCTCTAAACCTCATCTATGTTATATGAATTGCATGTATAAGTTGTATTAAGTGTGCGTTAAGTGTGTGTAGGTTATATGCATATGATGCATGTGTACTCATGTTTGAGTTTTATGTATACATGTTATATGAGCTATATGAGTGTGTAACTGGGAGGTTGAAAGTGGCTGCAGTCATATTTGCCACCATAAAATTAATGCACATATGGGAAGAAATCTGAGAAATTATAGTGCAAAGGAGCCAGAGTCACATCTTATCTTTAGGATGACTTTATGAACCTTGATAGCTCTCAATGTGTTCAGCCACAAGAACCCTGTATTCCTTGCATGATTTTGATTGTTTGGTTTTCTCATAGCAGTTTAATCTGGATTTCCCATTCCCTGTATTGGGAAGCATTTTAATTGATACAAGGAGGCAATGTTGGTAGAGCATCTGCCCAGAACAGATGCTCAATGACTGTTAGTATTATAAAGACCATTACTCTGCCTCATGACCACGGCAACATGGCAAAGCAGTGTTAGCTGCTGTGTTCATGTGTACATTACAGACCTCTAGAAGGCAGCCCAAGAATGGCAGGAAAGAGGATGGTCAGTTACCAAGCATGGCAGGATTGGCCTGGGCCACTGTCTGAGTGACCACTCAGCCTCTAGCTAGCAACACTGTGACCTGGTTATGAGAAGTCTATCAAGATTTTTTTGTCCTTTTCATGAATGTTTTCTGATTTTCAGAAAGTTCTGTTAGTAATTAAAGAAAACACAGAAAGAAAGAATTTTTGCCTTTGTGAGTTTTACTTGGAATCAGGAGAAGCTGGGGATGAGGGAGCTGACCAGGAAGAATGAAAAAACAGATGGCCCTTTGCCAAAGCATCTCCTAGCCTAGGAGATTCCTCCCTCTCTCTGCTTTTTGATTACTCTGGGTTCCTGAGGCAACGTACCTCCCTCAAATAACTGGCAGTGGGAGTGAGGTTCGCACCCCTTCTCCATGGTGATCTCAATCCTCCTGAGTGGCTTTCTGCTCACTGCTAGGGTGTGGAAGCACCCTCCTTTCCCAGCAGACACAGCAGTCATCTTAGCACTTTGCACCAGACTGAAATCTCTGCCTTGGACTTGGTAACCACTGGATCAGGTTGGTGCTCTTTCTTGGAAAGCCCACTAGGAGGCAGCTAGTGCTGTGTGTGGCCACCTATCTTTCATTGTTTTCCATTGAACTCAGAGGGAGCAAGACAAGGCTGCTTCCCAGGAGCATTCTCATATCAGGAATAGATGTGTGGGCAGGAGGGATTATGGAGAGAGGGCAGAAGCTGAGGAGGGATCAGGAAAGAGTGTTATTCTCACAGAGAGTGGAGAGGTAAGCACTAAAGTAAGTTGGGTTGGTAGCCACAAGTGTCCCACATGGCAGACACCAATATGCATTTTCCTAGTGTGTTTCCTTTGCAACCCACACATACACAGCTAAAGGCATTTCACAGCCTCTCATGGTGAGCTGGGGCCATGTGACCAGGCACTAGCAAGTGGAAGGTGATTAGATGAAAAGCCACCTGCCGTTCTGACCAATAAAATCCTTCTGCACTCCATGTATTCTGACTCTCTCTATTCAGTGGCTGAGAACAGCAGAATCAAAAGCTGCAGAGAGGCAAAAAGGCTTGGTCTCAGGATTTGGGCAAAGCATTGCTTCCCTACCCTGCAGACCTACTCAAGGCTGCTGAGCAACTGACGAGAGGATGCTCTGATGCAAAGTGCCAGCCACTGAGACTTTGTGTATTGTAGTAAGGAGAGTGGCTTTCTTTCCTTCTCTTTGCTGCAGTCAGTTGTTGCTGACTAATCAGTTCTGTTATCCAACGATTTATAAATTACTTTGTAGTGGACTAGAATTAACGAGTTTTACTTGTACCGAGGAGAAATTAATGCAGTTTTCAAGAAGGGCAATTCAACATGTTACCTTAATAGCTTTCTTAATATTTATATTCTTTGATTTAATAATTCAACTTTCAATCTGGAAACAATCAGAAATGTCCAAAAATTATATACCAGAATTCTTACCACAACATTGTTTCATTTGCATTTAAAAGCAGACAATTTAAATATTCAACAAAAAGCAGAAAGTTAAATGGAGAATTATAGGCCCACATGGCAGGGTGTTAAACTGCCATACAACTCATGTTTTAAAGAATATCTCATTGCATAGAGAAATGATCTGAATATAGTTATATAAAGGAAACAGATAATAGTACTACATGTTTTATAAAAATAGATTCAAATTGTGAGAACATTCTACTATATGCAGAAATAAAATAACATTTTAATGAAATGCAGTTATCTAGATCTCCTCAAGTGTTCAGGTTTTATGTGGCTTTGCATTTTTATTCATTTCAGTATTTTTATACTTATTCCTGCTATAAATATGCATTGTTTTACAATTGAAAAACATTTCTGATATAAAACAAGCCCTAATTGGGTTGTAGTTTATTTCTAAAATTTTTATTTTTATTTAGGATAAGGATGTAGTTATTGAGTTTTTAAAAAGTCAATGAAATTTAAAAATATTCCCATCTTCTCTGTGCCAATCTTGAGTTCAATGTGATTTTCTTCAAGATCTGAGCTGCAGAGCCCCAGTCTTGTGGGCTGAGGGCACCCAGTGCCTTGAGGTGGGCTGCAGTGGTAACAGGAGGCATTGCCGTCTGAGACTGTGACTGCCTAATAAAGTGTCCCTGGAATCCTGATATAGGGACCTAGGGTGGGTCCCTAGCATCTAGTCTTACAAATGCATTAGTTTACTTTAACCAGACTGTTGAGGTAATAGTCTGGCCCTGGAGCTTGTGATAAAAAGTCTTAGGTCTAAGCCTGCTGTTCTCGGTAATCAGCTCTGTTGACCTGGGCCTTTTATTCAAACTTCCATGTTCCTCGATAAGCAGGAACATTTATAGCTCTCTGCGCTGCCTGCAGGGCTACTTGATACATCTCAGTATGTGGCCAATGACCATAGCTCTGCTGCCTTGCATTTGTCTACACAGACTTAAGTGTTGCCTCATTGTGGTTATGGCTCTAGGACCATGATGGGCCTTTACCACAGGTGTTGTAGGGCCACAGGATGGAAACTGGTCCCCAACCTCAGTGCCACCTCCGACAATCTGTGGGGTCCTTCCTCCATGAAGCCCCAGAGAAGATCGGCTGTTGGCACCAATTCCGCTTATATAGACTTGTGACTGGGGAAAATCAGACAACTGAGTCTCAGTTCCTCTTGCAGGAAATACATTATTTATCATGACATCTATTAAGTAGGGAATTTGGAGGTTCTTGTAGCATCATAAAATAGAATAAAACTAGATTTAGTATTAATAATAACACTATCAACATCAGGTAAATTAATATAGTGTTAAAAGCTGGTATTTCTAAGCAATTTTATACTTTATTTCATGTTTATCTTCTCTGTTTTACATATGGAGAAATGGGCTCAAAGGGATTAGCAGTTCCTCCAACACCACATCTTAAGGGTTGTACTAGCTGAGCTGTGAACTTCAGCTTTGTGAGAGAAGAGGCTGAGCTCTTGAAGTCTAGGTATTTCAATAAAAGGTGCATTTGAATTACACTTAAAGACTGCTGCACTTTTCTGTATGATCCCAGAATTTTATGTGTGCATGTGTGTGTGTTTGTGTGTGTATGTGTGTGTGTGTGTGTGTGTGCATGATGTGTAGTGCACATGGGGTGTAGTGGTAAAAACATAGCATTTGATGTAAACTGATTCCAGTTCTAATTCCTACTGGATGTATAAATATTTGGGACATATAACTTAACCTCATATTCTTAAGATGGGAAAAACATGACACTTTTATAAATTATTTGTAAAGTATGAAAAATTGTTAGAATAGCAATAGCTAACATCAATCACATGTTCGATGTGCCAGATGCTGTTCCAAGCACTTGATGTACACTAAGTCACTTAATCCTCATAAAGACATGATGAGGAAGATGATATCAAAATACCCACCTATCAACTGACTAGGAAAGTGAAACACAGAGAGGCTCAGCTTGCCAAAGGCCACATAGCTAACAGGTGAAGGAACACTTTTAACCACAACCTGAGAACTGGCTGGCCCAGGCTTAACACATTAAAAATGCCAAAGAACTATCAGCTATCACTAAAACATATGGTGATGATTTTCAAACTATGACTAAGTTAGTGGGACTCTTACTTAAAAGTTATTTTGCAAATCTTTCTATTATATATTAAAGGCAGAGCTTCTTTGTTTAAGTATGGATGAAACATTCTCCTCCATCCCTGGTTTATCTATGGTAGCCCTGAGGAGCTCCTGGGGATGCTGAAGTTCTGAGGTGCCCAAGCTGAAGATCCTGATTTCACCTCTTGCATTCATTGCAGCTGTCCCAGTACCTCCCCTCTTTTCTCCTCCTGTTTTACTACAAACCCAGTAAATCAGAAGATAGAAATCCAGAGGCCAGAACACACCCTACCCCCACACTCTACCTTCCTCCACACCACCCCCATGGTTGCATCTATGTCCAGTCAGGAGACAGAGCCTGTGCTAGAGACTCACCAGTTTTATCTGAGTTGCAGAGGATGGTTTCCTTCTCAGCCCTCACACCAGGGCTGGGGCCATGTTTCATCCACATGGTGATGGTGAACTGGTCCGTCAGATTCTTAGGCACAATCCCATCTGGAATCTTGGCACCCTGTCTGCCATCAAACTTAAAGATCATCTCACTGCTGTCCACCAGCAGTCCTGAAGTCCAGTTGGTGGCAGAGCTGGGGGATGGCAAGAGGTCGATGATGCCAGATGAGGCTCCTGCAGGGAGTAGGAATAGAAAGCACAAAGGCTCATTGCTCTGATCTAGGTAATGGGGAAAGAGGTGCCAAATGCCATCCTGCCCTGAGTCATTTATAACTTACAAATAAAAATGGTGCTGGGGCAAGTTGGGGTGTGATCAACTATGATGCAAGGAAAATGTGATGGCTAAGCTTGGTGAGTATAACTGGAGACTTTTATTATCAAGTTCCTCAGGGAAGGCTGGAATTTGATGAGGTAGATGGATTCATTCCGGCACTCACCCATTCTTTAAACTTTCATGCATTTACTGAGCACTGAGTTTGTGCCAAAACCCCTGTTAGGTGTTGGTCACATGAAGGGAAATCAGACACAGCCCTTGATCTGCAGAAATTCAGAGCCAACATGTTGAGCACTGTTATCAAGACCATGACTGGGGAAAGTTCTAGGCCCCAATCCCAAGGGAAAGAATGTGAGCCACTTTGTAATCACACTTTGGTATAACCACATGCTGAGGGCAAATGGTGCAGTGTGGAGAACATGGGTTCTGATGTCAGCAACCCTTGAATTTGATACCTGGCAGCATGGTTTGCTAGCTCTGTAACCCTGTGACTGTTTCCTGTCCCTGGTGTCTGGGGACTGAATGCATGTGAACTTGCAGCAGCATGTTTGCAACAAAGTAAGTAGTTTGTTCTGTGTTTCTCTAATAATCAGCATTATTATTATTTCTGCTACCACTATTATTTTACAGGGTAAGGTTCAAGGTCTTGTACCTTGTACCTGAGGCAGTGAGAGGGTATTGGCAGATTAGGGTTTGGGAGTATCTTTGGGCCACTTTCTGGAAGGTAAACTGACATGAGAGAGAATAGCTGGCCTGGCAGAGAAGCCTGGACCATCCTGCTGGGAGGATGCTCAGGTCCTGTCTGTCTCCTTAGAGGCTTAAATGAGGAGGTCTTGACTCCTACAGAGTCACAGCTCCCTAGGGAGGCACAGCTCAGTCATTCAGAGAGGAAGAAGGGCTGAGAACTTTCTGCTTTGTTCAAGCAATAAGAAAGTGGGGGAGAGGATCTAAGGTGTGCTGGGGGCTATCATGTGGGGCTGTCTACTAGCACAGCACTACTAGTTAGTCATAAACTCTGATGGGACTAATAATGGTGGCTTCTTGAATCAATTGCTGCTTCTCAGGATTATTTGATTTTTGACTGTACAGCAGAGTCTCATCTCGCCAGGGTTTGAGTTTCAAGGACAACCACAAAAAATAAACAACAAAAGACAAAACAGCAACAAAAATCCCCACCAACTCCTACAGTTAAAATTGCCCTTGAAAACTCTTACAGAAGGTGCAATATAGGAATCCAATACATTGTATTTCTTTAAGATGTTCTACTCCATCTAGCTTTCCTCCCAGCAGTAGAAGAGATCATTAGGTTGATACCTAATGGCTTACAGTGAAAGGTTATGCTATATTTCTGTGGAGGCCAGATCCTCTGCCTAGCGCTCTGACAGATTCATGGTGGAAGTAACTTCAAGACCTGCTAGGCCTGAGAAGGTAGGAGATGCAGATCTCTCAGTTCATGCTTATCTAAGGGGGTGCAGGTAAAGATGATTGCACTATTTATATGCGCATTCCCTAGAGATTCTACTGTTCCTCTATCTACCATGTTATAGGCATTCAGTTCCTGTTTGTTACCATCTTTCCTCTTCCGACATGCCCCATCAGATGCTCTGGCAATTTTCTTGGTGCTCAGGTGTCCATCTCCACACTTGTCATCCTACTTACTTCTCCATACCTCATATTTAATGACAAAAACCCTTTGTCCACCTCAGTGCCCACCATAGATATCTGCAGGAAAGGTACTGGTCCAGATAGTATCAGCGAGAGACTTGTGAGTGGAAAGGGAGATACAGGGTACTATAGAAAAAGTTAGCTTCTCTAGTACCCACATAATGATATGACATGACAACAGCTTCTTCAACCCACACATACACTGAGTCTGCTAGAAGGATCTGTCCAGTATGAAGACAACCAGTGACTGGGGCACATGGAGTGTCGGTTGGCTCCTGAAGTCTGGAGTGGGCATAGAGATGCAGGTTTCCCACTTAGGGCTCCTAATTTCTAGCTCAAGCCATCAGTGTTAATGTCTAGCGGGGCCCTGGACAGAAGGGTACACATGGCATCTGCTGAGGCTGTTCCACCATCACAGAGAAGCCAGGACTCTCCACAAGGTGCCTGGGGGAGAGTTGGCAGGGCAGAAAACTCCTTTCTGTGAGTGTCCTTCTTTTGGCTAAGGACTTAGTTGTGCATGTGGAATTCACACTGCAGTTAACACTTTAGATTAGTGAAGGAATTGATCAAAAATTTGCCTGCAAACCTGTTTGGATAAAGAGAAAGAGAGAAATAAAGACTAAGACCTAGTGTGGGCTGGTAGGAGAGATATCAAAGGAAGGTAGGGAGACAAAAACTGGTTACAGGGTAACTCAGCCTTGGCTAGAGATACCCTATAACTATAGTTTATGTTTGCACAGCTTTACTTTTTACCATTTTATAGTTTTAACTTTCATTATTTTCTTAGAAATTATTTATTGGACATTGAGTAGATGCCAGATGCAAATTTAGCAAGTACTTTCCATGTTCCCTCCCAACTACTTGTTTGAGCAGTTGATACTAAGATTCTAGTTTCTGTAAAAGAAAGGCCAGGCTGAATGACTCCAGGATCAGAGCCAGGATCAAAGCCAGCTAGTGAGTGGGCCTATCAATGGGACATTCAAAACCCAAACTGCACACTGTACCGCCTCAGCTGAGTTTGGAGAGAGAACTTACAGCTTTTTGTGCATTTTGTAAACATAGAAATTAAAGCCTAGATAAATGGACACTACCAGATCGAGGCTGCACAGTCACATAGTTAGCCAGAGGCAGGTGCTGCCCTCAGGCACCCAGCTCATGTTCTTTCTACCACACAGGAGTGTCAGGGGGCCAATCAGCTGACCTGCCTAGCATAGCCCAGTCCCCTGGGATGGCTGCTTCCATGTTGAAGACATCATGTGCCTTGGCAGGGCTGCTGATGTGGGGCTCCCCTGTCTCCCTTGTGGAGAAGGACTGGCAGACCACCCCCCCTATTCCACAGATGTTGTCTGCCAGAAAGCACGAAGCTGCATTTAGCCAGATGGTGTGCACTTCCACAAACTTAACAGATTGTATTTCATTTCTTCATATACTTAAACAAACTGAGAAAGATTTACTTTCTCCCAGAGTTCTGTGTGTTTCCCCCCTAGGGATCCCACGGGAAATCAGAGGGTAAACAGGATGCATCACTTGCAGAGATGGTGTAGCATCATCTGCACATCAGGGTATATTTATGATGCTCCTTGAGAATCCTCTGTGACATTCCCTGGAGCCCATAGGCATTTAGCATTCATGTTGATCTGGTGCATAACAGCAGCAGCTGGAGCGCTGGTGGCTTTGAATCAGAGTGGGGTACTGATTTTAGGTCTCTGGGTCCTGCCATCGTTAGGGAGCTGCTCTGAGCCAGAAAAGAGAGAGAAACAGGAGGAAATGAGAGGCAGATTTCAGAATACATTATGGGGTTCAAGAATGGTGGTTACTTTCTGAACTTAGTTTATGGGTGTGTGTTCTGGGCTGGATGATCTTGGTGAGGGCAGACCATTTTCTTAGCCCTTTAAGATAGGCGTGTGGCAGAGGAGACTGAATTGGGTCCTCTGGGCCACCACAGGACACAAGCAGGAGTAGGCATAAGTAGGAGCATCTCAAGGAAAGGAACCAGGGTAACTGAGGAACAGGGCTCAGTCTATTCAGTGTTTCCTGCTTGGAAAACATACGGTAAGCACGGCAGATGCACAATATCATTTCCAAATTATTTCAATAAATGTTTATGAAATTTATGAGCTTTTCCAGGCATTGTCATATAAGTGAAGCAATAAACCAGAGAAATGGCTCTATGTTTGGGGACCCAGTAAGGCATTTGCATTCTAGAAGGATCAGTATAGTGGGTGCAGCAGGTCAGTGGAGGAGAGAAGCCAGGAAGGCTCACCACCAAATGCTTGATGGACCACCAGGCCTGTGAGATGGAAGAAGGTTTCTATTCACAGCACAGTTCTCTGACCCATGCTACTAGCTTGGCCATGTGAGGATGAAATGTAAGTGCAGGTGATGAATATCAGGTCAGAGACTGGAATAGCTAGTGCATGGCTCAATGTGTGTCTTTTTCATTTGCCCTGAGGTCAACAATGTTCTAGATAGAGGCTATTTCACTAGCCTGGATCCTAGTGGGAAAGCAACATGGAAGAGAGCCATAGACAACCCAAGAAGTATATGTAGTAGGAATGATTAACCTTTGTTATTTTAAGTCACTGAGGTTAAGAAAGCGTTTGTTACTCCAGCATAACCTTTCTTATCCTGACTGATAATTTATGTAAGTGATTGACATCAGTAGTTACAATTCTTATTTCTCTATCTACCTTCCAGAAACACTGGTAGTTGTAGGACCTACAGTCAGACTATCATTCCACCCCTAGAATCCCAAATATGAAGCATGCCTTTGAGGCCGTGAAACCAGATATTTGGATTTCTAGGCAAAGAAAGCTGCGATTTGAATGAAAGGTGATCAGAAAGACTCCCAGGGAAGGACTATGGATACCCACCCAGTTGCTGAGTAGCTTGAACAAGCCTACTGCAGGCAAAATACTTCTTCCTAACAGAGATGGTCATGTAGTCTGACCATTGCTAAATGACCTCCAAGAAATAAATATATGCAGGCCCACTGATTATAAATCGTCATGCATGAGTCATGGTATTATGCAACCCTTTGCTGACACAGGACTGGTGACTTATTCTGAATGCCATCATGCATTCCCCTGTTCTCTTTCAGCTCTGATTGTGGAAACAGGGCCTTTACTAAGGGGCTAATGTTCTCACCCTCAGAAGCCCTCCTATAGGAGTATCTTGGAATTCATCATGGCTTCCTGGGATTTTTCTATTCTGAGGGTATCAAAGCCTCTGACAATAATCTTTAGTAAGAACAAGCTCTTTTAAACTGCAAGGTATAGTAGAAAACTATAGACTTTCACAGCTCTTAAAAAAATTGCATTAGAACTTTTTAAACATATCTGTCTTCCCAAGGAGACTGAACTGTTAATAAATTTTATTAATTTCTATATTGTATTAAGAGTTAGTTCAGTATTGGGGAAACCAATAATTGTTGAAGTAAAAAAATTATGATTGAATGACTAGGTCCTCTGTGAAAATCTTCTGGCTGGTAAGTGTACAGATCCCAGGAATAGCTTAAGGTCTGGTCACCTGCACTGCTCTCACAGATGAAGCACTTGATTTAAATGGCATCTGCAAACCTTGTGTCCTTTCCTTTAACAAGACTTTTCCTGGGAGCCTTGACTCACAAACAGAACAGTTGCCCTTGACTTGTATACAGGAGATAGCAGCCAGCTGCCAGGAGCCCCGTGGTCCCTAGAGAGGTGGCCCCTGACTTCTGTGCTACAGACGGCACATGCATTACAAGTACTTTTCTATTTTCTGTAATGGCTAGTGATGTAGGGTCACTGAAGTGGGCCTGTCCTTGGGTGGTTGTTAATGTCAAGTTTAATTTGGCTGAGAGGTCTCACTAAAGGCTCCTTCATGCTTTTCATACTCAACACAGCGCTGGGACACTTTGCCTCTGGAAAGCTTGGTGCTGTGACAGTGGGTTCACCTATGTCCTTGAATTTGAAATAAGTGATACGCAGTTGGCCAACTTTTCCAGGAAGCCTAGCTCTGTAAAAAGTTAGGGCAGTAAGACCAATTTTAGGTTACATTTGGTCTTCAAGTGAAGGAGACACGGGCTCAGGTCCCTCCATTGCCTCTATCTATAGCCAAATGCAAATGTCTCCAAGTATTTATCTCAGGAAGCAACATTCTTGAAACTTAGGCCCAGCTAAGCCATTTCACGGTATCTGCTCCACCTTCCTCATGGCAGGTCTGACAGGCACTATTGTCTGCCTTCCCTTTAAACAGGTTCGGTTTTCTTACTGCCTCTCAAGAGTCAACTCTATATCAGGAGGAATTAGCAGGCAGTAAGAAGGTTACTGAACACTACAGCATCACAGAGAAGGCTCCATAATTGTGCCACCACAGAAACCCCACTGGACAGATCCCTGGTATTCACAGGAGGAGGTGACCAGTGATTGTGGGGAACAACTTGGGAGGAGAAGAGGAAAGAGCATCTTGTGGTGGAAAACATGATCAAAGGCTTGGGAATGAGCATAAACCAATCAGAGTAACCAAAGGAGAGGATGGGGAGACAGTCCTTAGGAGGGCCAGGAGGCAGGGTAACCTTACACTTGTGTGTTCCACAGGTGACTGTCATAATTGTCCCCTATATCCACTCTTGTTCCTGAATTTTTGTTTTGGTTGGCAGCCTCCTCATCTAGGTAGCTGCTTAACTAGAATCTGCTTAGATTCCTGCTTTCTCACTCTTGACAGCTAATCAATCATTAAACTTTGCTGATTTTGCCTCTTAAATTTGTCTTAAATTCATCCCTTCTGCCACTCCCCCGATTCAGAACTCATTATCTCTTGCTTAGACCATGGCAATAACTTCCTAATTGGTCTCCCTGTTCCCCTGAAAAGTCAATAAAGATTTGTAGGATGAAAAATGCATGAGTGCTGAAGATTAAAGTGTCATGGCTGCTCTCTAGTTGGAAGTGCAGCAAGAAGCCTTTCCTTTATCCCCTGAAAACCCACAGAGGCTGGACTCTAAAACCCCTGTGACCACAGGAGTCAGGGACACAGACCGGGTCTCTGTCCTTTACGCCATTCAACCTGAATTTTCTTTAGAGTTGGGAAAAAGCCTGGGCTCTGGGGTCTCACTTCTTGCTTTTGCTCCTTTTCCCTAGGCTCTCATCAGTGCAAATCAAGAATCATGCTTCTGATATGAGGTTAGACTGGCCTGGCCACCAGGGCTACGGGGACAGGGTTTCAGAAGTGTGGCAGGCTGCGCTTATAGGAAGGACATCAGAGAGACACTAGATTTTCCTCATTCAAAGGGCAGCTCCCAGCACCTGATTAAGCTTCACCTTGCAGGGATGCTGCCTGCTGGCTGAGTTAGCCTGCTTTTCTTCAAGGCAAGGCTCGCATCCCAGATGGAGCATGTTCTGTTAAAAACACAATTTTGCTCAGAAGCGTCTTCCCTAAGAACATCCTTCTTACCCTTTCTGCCTCCCATCTCTTCCCAGCAACATTCAAAATCCCATCACAAGCCCGTGCCCTTGGGCCCATCTGATCTCTAACAAGCTGATTCCATCATCTCCTTCTGACCTGGCTGAGTTTAGAAAATGACTCTAACCCACAGTGGCCCGAGGTTGGGTGACTTATAATTCAGGTACTACAATGGGGAATGAAATGGGATATTCAGTCAAAGGAGGATATCATCCTAGATGGCTTCTGTGCATGCAGAAGGAAGGAGAGGCCTGGAGGGGCTTTCTGAATGCTGCATTTCCCTTATATTCATTTCTGCAAAGTGGTTTTTCTAATACTGGAGTTGTAGCAATCTCTCTAGCAGTGGTCTTGCTTCCGAGGAGGCTGCATGGCCATAGGCCTTCCCTGCCAGGCTGGTGACATGGTGAATGGAATGTAGTGACACTCAAACAGGGTTTGCTTGGCTTTAAAAGTTTTACATGATTACTTGTGCAAGAACAGTGTGTGTGAAAGGGTGTGGGAGAGGGATAAACCTATCCCGAAGATGGCAAGGGTGAGGATCTTTCTGGAGAGGGCAGGCAACATGATTCACTGGAGAGCTAGCTTCTCTTGCCTCTTGAGGAAGTGCAGTTACCCCCAAATACAGCTCCAACAAGGAATAAGCCCTGTCCTGAGCTCCTATGGAATGGTTTGAAGTTAAATATGAATCCCTGGATACTCTTGAAGAGAGTAGGAAAGCACTGTCTATACAGTTGTGGGATGAAGGGGCTCCATCAATGGTCTGGCTCACCCAGTCTGTTGGACCATCCCCACCTTATGGGATGCACATCCTCTCCTTCCATAGACTCACTGGAGAGTTGTATTCTAGCTTCTGATGCTGAGCTAAATACTTATTGGCAAATCCTGGGTTTGTCATTTTTTATATGTGTGAACTTGAGCAAGTTATGTCATACTCTGGGTTCCAAAATTTCTATCTCTAATGCTGAATGAATAACGCCCTGCCCACAATGAAATTAGGCAAAATTGATTAAGAAACACAAAGAGACCCACAGTGGACACTAAATAAAACTAGGCTTTCTCCACACTCATCTTTCATAGCATCCTCCATCACCTTGGTTTCCTAATTCCGGCCGGCAGCAAATCTCCCACCCCAATCCCAAGCCCCTTTCCGCTGTGGTTACCCAGACCCTGCTTCACTAGCATGTGAGCTAAGCAGTTGCACAGGGCTCTGTAAGCTTTTGGTTTAATGCTTTGCTGTTATCAAATTCTAAATAATTTTTGATCAAGAGATTCACTTTTTTGCAGCAGCAGCAGCAGGCCTTGGAAATTATGTACCTGGTCACAAGAGAGCCTGCTTGTCTTTTGACACTGTGCCAGGTGCTTTTAAACATGTTGTGCTACTTCATTACTGGTTTACTTAGAGTATAACAGAGATTTCACCCTTCTACTTAATCAAACCCACATGCCTGGCAAACAATCTGAATCAACCCTAATACTAAAAGCTAGGCTGGCTGACCCTTCGCTGTAAGTAAACATCCACCCAGGAATTGCATAACCTGATTCAGGTGGGAGGACTGGCTATTTCCTAACATAGTAAGAGATGCCCTATTGGTAGAAGTCAGTTGGTAGCAGTTAATTAAATAAATCTCAACGAGGAAAACCTACCACATAATTTCTGAAGGGATCTCTCAGAGTATGTCTCCCGGTCACAGCCTTTCCCAATATAGTTGGTCTGCAGCTCCGTGGTGACCTGGAGAGAGGACACGGCTCCATCACACGTCTCCAGGTGGATGTTGGGGAATAAAGGCATACTCCCTGAACCAGGCTGGTACTCAATCCTCTTGGTCCAGTCTGAATAAACAAGGACATAATGAAAAGTAGATCAGATGTGGTCAATCCTACCAGAACACCTGTTCTGAAAATGTGTTCCAATAAATTATGTGTCTCAACAAATACATTAAGGAATAGTCTGAGGATTATGCAAACTTTGTATTTGCTGATAAAAGATTTTACCCCTGAGATAGACTAGGCAAATCAGAAAGCTGAACCCAGCTGAACTGAGCCCCATAGGAATACCAACACACAAAAGCACACATCTCAAATGTTTACCAGCTTCTTAGTTGACCAGTGCTGTGGAAGAAACAGAATGAGCTGCGGCTCTCGAAAGCATCACCAGTGATGCATCAAAATGAAGAAAAAGAAAACATTAGCACAGTTTTACAGAACTGCTACAGTGAACACGGCACTTAACCTTGAAGAGATCTGACATTTGCTGGTGGAAGGGGAGCTGGCAGGCTTGCAGCTGGTGTGTTGCTGTGAAGTAGTGGAAGGAGTGTCTCGGGAACAGAAGGAAAGTTGTGAATACAGTGTGCATAGGTCCATTTCCGCCAGCAAACAAGTCTGCTCAAGGTCAGGGGCTGCACTTACTGAAATGCTTGCATAGAACTGCTGCCTGTCTTTTTCCCTTTTAATACACAGTGCTGACATCTTTGAGTGTTGTTCCTCTCACCCCATCTCCTCCATTTTGCCTCACTTGGTGATTTTCAGAAACATGTATATTTTAAAACATAAATGAACATGGTCACTCAAGGACTAGGTGAAATCACAAGACAGGGTGGAAGGATGCTTAAATACTCAGGGCTTTGACCTGCTGACGTAGGACTGATGATCTTGTTGCTGGCTTTTAATTGGGAGATGACAGATGTCAGGAGAGAAAGGTACAATGCAAAGGCACCACCCAAGAACAGCACCATAAACAGAAATACCAAGAACATGTGTGCACAGGAATGGACTGGATACAGAACAACAGTGATGGGGAATCGAGGTGATGCTCAGAGACTGGTAATGTGTCCTGCTGGCAACATGAGCAACTCATGCTCTACAAGGATATACATCTGAGAGATGATGCAGTGTCCCCAGCCAGACTTGAGTGCGGGACAGTGAACTGAGTCATCAAGGCGTATAGTGATGAGTACAAACCCCAGGTGTTTGTCACATAGAACATTACCACTAGCACCTTTTTGCAGAAATAGAATTAAAAATATGTAAAATTGGCTCTTCTCATCCATGAGAAACTCATTGATACTTGGATTTGTGGGACTTTGTGTCAGTCTGCAGCCACCAGGAGGCTGTGCATAACCTGGGGACAGTGGGACACTGGCTACCAAGGGGAAGATTGGGCTTAGGGAACAGCCAGCGCAGCCACTTATTTTGAGATACTTGGAGCACCAAGGATATAGCAGTGAACAGGTCAAGAACCAGGGGAGAAAGACAGTAGCGAATAGGCCTGTGTTGTTCTATTGTAAGAGACCAAGTACAGAAGAAGGTGAGAGACAGGGGCTACTTCAGATGCAGAGTTCACATCTCTACTGAAGTCTGGCCACCAAGGATGAATGTGCTCCCAGGAAGCCTTGGAGAAGCACAGATAGCAATGATCTCGGTTTGACCCTAGGAGGGCAGGAAGTTCTTGGGCAAGTCATTGAAGATGTCCAAGCCTCAGGCATCACATCAGTAAAATGAGGACCACAGCACTGATCTACAAGGTTTGGAATGAGGATGAAGTGCAACAATGTATTCTGGGTATATAGCAGTCCCTGATCAATGTCATCTTGTAGCAAGGAAGAGGACAGTGACTCCCTGTGCCACAACCCTGCCATGTTCCAGATAAATATATAATCTGCGTTTAAATCTGGGCTCCTTTATCCAAGGGCTGCACTTCAGGGACTTTTTCCCCCAGACTATGAATAAATATGCAAGTGCAGAGTTTGCACAATATGATTGTGATGCTCATCCCCATGGGACTTACAATGGAAGGACATTTGGGCAAGTAGAATACACGTGATAACAGCCCTCAAGAGCTGAGACTGAACTACCCCATCACCACTTGCAGCATGAGAGCTTGACCTCTCATGTTCTGTTTTATCCTTAGGACAAAACACTGAAGCTAAGAAAGGCTTCTTGTCAGGTGTATCTGAAAGTCCCAGGGCTTCAGGAAGTTGTCCACACCCAGCCAGGTATGTAGCATCCTAGGTACAATTTATTCATGCTTGTGTGCATTTGATTATGCTGTTCCTTCTACATGGATTTCCCTTTCTCTAACCTTCCCTCTTGCTATCTTCTTCATGCAGAATGTCTCCAGTCTGGGTAAATGTACTCCTCTGTGCCCCCACAGCGTCGGCAACAGTAGACCATAGCATTAGGCTCAAGCTTTGCGGTGATTCTGAATCTCCATTATGCTGCATGGTCCCTGGCATAGAGTGTATGCACACTGGCATCTAAGTAGAAACGTGTATAAATCATGAAACATATCATAGTGAAAATATCCATTCATTTGCCTACCTCCCTTGGTAACTGTGAACTACTTCACAGTAGGGATTGTGATGTTTGTTTCTGAACTCTCTATATGCTCAGAATGCAGAAAATACTTGCAAGTGGATCTAGGATTTGCAAAAGCTCTTTAATAAGATGAGATCCCAGTTGTTGATTCTTTGAAGTGTTTCCTATGCTGTTTAGGTTTTGTTCACGAAGTCTCTGCTTACCCCTAGGTCTTCAAGAATTTTACCTACTTTCTCTTCCAGTAGATTTAGTGTTTCTGTTTTAATATTTAGATCTTTGATCCATTTTGACTTTAATGTATGGTGATAAACATAGGTCTAGTTTTAATCTTCAGCAAATAGAAAGCCAGTTTTTCCAGCACCATTTATTAAAGGGGCTATCTTTCCTCTAGTGAACATGTTTGGTCCCTTTGTCATAGATAAGGTGACTGAGTGTGTTTGTAGTTGTGGTTGCATCTTCTAATCTGTCCCACTGACCCCCAGGTCTGTTTTTTGCCAGTACCATGTTGATTTTATCACAGGAGCTCTGAGTATAATTTTCAGTCAAGAACTGTGATACCTCCTGCTGCCTTTGTTATTCTAGGTCTCTTCTGTTTCCAAAGGGGATGGGTGGCTTTGATTTGGGTATCCAGCATCTTCCCATTTTCACTGGGAGAAGCTAAGGAGATGCCTTGGTCCAGCAGAGAGCACCACCATCTTCACTGGTTATCAAGAGCATCCAAGTTGGGATGGGCTGGTTAGGAAGGCAAAGGTGGGCCGCAGTGGTAAGAGGAAGTTAGAAGATGAATGCTAGCTGAGTTATTTGGATTTCAACTCAGAACCAGGACAGGGACATAAGTTTTGAGTGACAGCATTAATTACCCAGACTTTGGAATTCTCAGTCAGCACCTGAATTCTGCCTGGTGTTCATTTTAGAGCTCCAGCGTACTCCTAATATCTATCCCTTGACCAGTCTCCCACAGGGAGGGTGTTGGTTCTACTAGGACCGTGCAAAGGGATATTCATTTTATTAACTCAGTTCAATTCAAGAATGTTTACTCTGTAGCTGGACAGACTCCAATGTGAACACTGTCTCTGATGCTTGCGGGCTGTGTGGTCTTGAATAAATTACTGAAATTCTCTGAGCTTCAGAAGAATGAGGATAACCTAAGTCTACTTTGCAGACCTGCTCTGGCAATTTTAGAAAAGGCAAGCAAACAACATGAATAGAGAGCTGTTGTTACCAACATCATTGTTGTTATTTCAGATGTCAAGAACTTACTGAGCACCAGCTGGGTGCCAGGTTGAATGGGGCAAGGGAGGCAGAGATGTCTGAGTGATTAGTTCACAAAAGAATTTACAGCCAGAACAGTTGCAGCCACGCAGCCAGCTTTAATGCTGGCAGGAATAAAGAACAGACTCAGGGAGTGGTGAGGGAGGGTAACTCATTCTGACCAGCTCATGCAAAGGAGCTTCCTGAAGGAAGTGGCCTGACTATTTGTTTGAATATAGGTCTTGTTATTTAACATAACAAGGTCAACAGATTGGAGCTGTCATTTAGAAACTGTTACACCCACTGATGCCTGGAAAGGAGGCACATCACAGCATGCGGGCTGCATAGAGGAGCACTGGTGCCAGTCAGGAGGCAGAGGAGGGAGGCACTATGAGCAGGAGGTCTTATTATGGTTTATAGGGAAGCAGGAAGGCAGACACGGTCCTGCACTAGCTAGTTGCAATGATATAGCATAGGAACACTCCCTAGCTGGCTTGCACCAGCTCTTCATGAGATGAGGGCAGGTGAAAGAGGCCGGTAGTGTAAGAATCTGATAATGAGGTGGTTTGGCATGAAGGCTCTGGATTGGGTGATTTACATTTGAAAAGGATGAGAGAGCTAGTCATTCATTTATTATCAGAGAGCTGGCTGGTCCTGAGGAGGGCAGGTTCTCCAGTGATAGCAAGGCCCCAGGTGTCAAAGCATCAGAATACAGGGTATAAGAGATAGGGTTCACGTACAATTGTAGAGACAGGGGAACGCCTGGAAGTAGAGGGGAATGGTAGGACGTCTTCAGCTGCAAAACTTTAAGTTCAAGCAGTACAGTTTAGGTACAAGCTCACACCGTAGCTTGTACAGCCCAGCAGCTGCGTGTGAGTCCGAAATCATAGATACACTTGAGGCTGGGGAGGCCCAGGGTGTGACATGAGGCTAGAGAAGAATTTTCGGCCAGATTGCAAGGTGAGGGATTGCTGGGCCAGGCAGAGGGTTCTTCACCCTATATCAAACAAAGTCCTTCCCAAGGCCTTTGTGAATAGGAGTGAAAAAAGCTAACTTCTGAGACTTTCCTTCTCTCTCCTCTTCCCACAAGGCTCCTTGCTGTGAGTTCCCCAGCATGCAAACCTGAGTCTAGGTAGGCTCAGGGGACCCCAAGGCAGTAGAGTACAGAACTAGGGGCGAAGAGCTGGTGGTCTCTGGAGTACAGATTCTGTCTCCTTTGCTAACCAGCCACTGCAGCTTTGCAGGTTACAGAGCATCTCTGTGCC